AGCCCTGCCCCCAACCACCCCCATGCCTTCCCTTCCCCCACACTGTGCCACTATTACCTGGCTTCTCCCCACTTTGTCCCGCAGCCTGCTCAGTCCGGGTACTGACGAGATGCCCCGCCCCCTGCAGAGCCCGCGCTGTACTGAGAGCCGCGCATTCCTTGTGACAGCCGCTACTTGAGTCAGTGAGAGGCGGCCCCGGAGCCTCCGCGCCCATTCAATGACGGCCCAGCCTGCACGGGGGGCTGGGCCCGGTGGGGGCAATGCACGTATGGATGGAGATCTCTTGCGGCCAGACCCCCAGCCCACCCCACCTCATACTGACACTCGGCGCCGGGCAGCATATTGTGAATGGCTGCTCGGCGCGAGAACTGACGGCGCTGCGCTAGGAGGTGGCAGAGGATCCTCTCACCTAGAAAAGTAGAAGACACGCGGCGACCCACTGAACACGGGGTGGCGACCCACTGAACACGGGGTCGCGACCCACTTTAAGGGCACGAACCACCAGTTGAGAACCAAGGCTATAAACCACTCCCTCTGAGCCCAGGTCATCCCGGACTCACCCCTAGCCTAAGAAAAGAGAAGCAGCACTGTGATTAGCTCATATTTCTGCCACTCTGCTCTCTCCTCCAATCAGGATGCTTCTTATCAGCACATGAACTGGTTTGACTTCTCTCCAGTCATGCTGTACAGGAAGTTTAAGAAGCTGATCCCGGGTCCCTCTAGGATACATACGCTGTTTGCATTTTAAAAAAAAAACCCCCGAAACATTTCTTATGAATTTAATAATATTTGATATATGAATGACGGCCGAGCTGCATTCACTTGTGTTACATCTGCCCGGAGTTCAGCTTTAAGAAATCACATTTTTGTCGCAATTTAAAATTTCAAGAGAACGTGAAATAAATCTTCTGCTCACCTCTGATTGGCACTTCTCCTCCGGCTGGAAATGCAAAAAAAAGGTAAAAAATTAAATTCTACTTTGTAAAACAGCAGCAAATTCAGAACAGGAAGTGAAAGGAAATCTCCCCAACAGGAATG